TGGAATCCTAAAAGTTAGTAATTGTTATTTATCCAGTAATTGTTATTTATCTAATTGACTTTTGTAAATAATCTACACAATCTCCTTATTTATCATGGATATCTCTATTTCATTGGATTCCTGGTTGACATAGCCTGAATGGCAGGGCAGTTTGCACTGAAGACCAGAATTAGTACAGGGACTCACTGAAAACTGGAGATGCTATGAATCAACCTAAAATTGATATAAAGTAGTATTTATGAAGCAGTTTTTATGCTGCCTATAACATTCAATGATCTTGCAAGAACTGTGTCTCTTTCTCAGTGGTAAAGAATATAAAGCAAAATAATGTGTATTTTATGTAATGGGAGGATATTCTAGCCTTCCCTAGTGTATTGGACTCAAAACCTAAATGATTTGGCAGAATTCTGAAAATAACTAAGGGTATTGCTAACCTTCTTGTATGTCATTTCCTACCCGCAGGTCTAATCAGAGCATGCCTATAATGTGTGACTAATATGATGTTCTGTAGATTATCATGACCATTAAGTTCCCTAAGGACTATATTATGACAGAGAGTAAACGAGTTTTAAAAAGCTGAACAAACTATAAATGTTCAGAAAGTTATGGAGTAACAAATGTGAATTTTTAAGGGTGAGAACTCCATCACAAGATGAAGTTGAGTAGTTTTCTGCAACTTGTTGTGAACATGTTAGTAGTTTTATGATATCCTTCATGTACTCAGTATGAAGTTAAATCTATTGGAATTTCAATATATTGCAAATACAACATATAATGTGGCAAGGATCTTCTCCATGGAAAAGTATTTATGATGAAACATAAATTAGTTTAAAATGTAAAACACCTATGGTGAAATACTGGATCGTGGTTCTGCTGACAGATCCATTCCACCCACACCCCACCTTTATGTTCCTCTAAAGACCACCCTGAAGTGCCTTTGCAATCACCTACTCTGTTTTTTCCTGGTGGGCTCTGTTACTCTGTGTTCCTGGAAAGTGTACCTCTGATACTTTCCTCCTTGTCCTGTGATTAACTTGACTTATACTATCGCCAGTTGTCTAGACTTAGTCAATGGAACTAAAGCTTCTTTATCTTTTATCCTGTTGGCATTTTGAGGTACTCTCTCCACTAACCATGACACCCTCTCTCTGTAAAGTCTGGAGTATCACATTAGCTCCTTCGAACACTTCTGAGCTGGGCATTGTCTGAAGGACTGTTCCTTGTCAGAAGGACTGCTCATCAACTTAGTTCATAAGCATAGCAGAAGTAGCTCAAATTGTGAAATCTCAGGAAACAAATAAAGTCTGCCTTGGGTTTGGTAGCATCCCTTCTTACTTTTTAAAATATCCAGATTATCAAAAGCAATTTAGGAATATATTCATCTACCATAGACAAATCCCCTAATATGGTAGAGTTTGGCTTAGGCAGGGAGAAATATGTTAATTAACTCATGGTGTGAGTTATCATGAAGAGGGATCCATATAATACAGAGCCTGTGCAGAGTAAAAAGTTTTTTTTTTCTTTTCTTTTCTTTATTCTAAGAGAAATACCTAAAAATTAAAAGACTGAAGAGATTGGTGACTTGATCAAAAGCTAAGTAATCTGTTCAAGGTCACAAAATAGTCATATAATCAATGTTCAAATCCCAGTTTTTGACAGCCAACTCAAGACACTTTACACTTTTTCAATTGACTAGAGTTATTTCCACATTTACTGAAATGTTCACTTCTGCCATTTTATACAGTTAAAGGTATTTCTCTGTCAATTTGTACAGCAGTGCAGGGAAAGTCTATAGGATCTGTAAACCAGAAAGAAAAAACAAAGAATTTTTAATACTATTCTGTTACTTTGAAATGTGTGTATTAAATAGTTGATTACCAAGTTATATTAATAGCTGCTTTATTTTTTATATTTTAAACAAAATTTGAGGTGGGATTCTACAGCACATAATATCACAATCCTAACCGAAATGTAATGCTATGTGCCTTTAATAGTTTCCCTTAACTAGGAATTAATTAAATTAGAAATTCATTGCTATTAGCATTAGGAATGTCTCTGTTTTTATTGGAACTAGAGTAATTTGAAAATTTTGTGGAAATATGCTGCAATAAACATACATGTACATGTGTCTTTAGAATAGAATGATTTACATTCCTTTGGGTATGTAACCAGGAATGGGTTTGCTGGGTCAAATGGCATTTCTGGTTCTAGATCCCTGAGGTATAGCCACACTGTCCTCCACGATGGTTGAACTAATTTACACTCCCACCAACAGCATAAAAGCATTCCTATTTCTCCACAGTTTCACCAGCATCTAATGCAAATCAAAACCACAATAAGATACCATGTCACACCAGTCAGGATGGCGATTATTAAAAAGACGAGAAATAAATTTTAAACAGTGAGTTTACCAAATGATAGCATTCACTTTATAAATGCTATCTTTTTTTTTTTTTTTTATACAGAGTTTTGCTCTTGTTGCCCAGGCTGGAGTGCAATGGTATGATCTCAGCTCACTACAAAGTCTGCCTCCCAGGTTCAAGTGATTCTCCTGCCTCAGCCTCCCCAGTAGCTGGGACTATCGGCATGCGCCACCACGCCCGGCTAATTTTGTATTTGTAGTAGAGACGGAGTTTGTCTATGTTAGTCAGGCTGGTCTCAATCTCCCGACCTCAGGTTATCCGCCCACCTAGGCCTCCCAAAGTCCTGGGATTACAGGCGTGAGCCACCATGCCCAACCCCATCATTTTTTTTATATTTCGAAGCATGTCATAGATGAATTTCACTTTAGTGCATAAATAGATGAAGCTACTGACATTTTTTATTCAACTAGTTCCTGATTTCTCTCATTATCATATTTGACCAGATGCTTTTGAATGCTTCTGATTTTTTGGTATCTTCAAAATACTTTAAAATACCTGTGTCTGGCAAAGTCTAGTCAGGAGACAGAACCGACATGAGTAATTTGAAAAAAGAATATTTAATATAAAGAACTAGCAACTGGTAAAAGGAATTAGCTGCTACAAGGAGAATAAAAAATAACTCTAAAAAAATACCCTAAGGGAGAATTGACATCTTTTACAATACTGTTTTTCTATTTATTAATACAGTGTCTATCTTCACTTAAGTTTTATTTACTAATACACGCTTCATTACCACCTTTTGTTAAGTTTTATAATTTTCTCTAAATGCACATCTTTAAATTTGTACATAAGCTTAGAGTATTTGTTGTTTTGCAAGTTATGTTTTTTACGTAAATATTTGTAATTTTTTGTTGACATGTTTTTTCTTTTTCAACATTTATTTGTAAAAGATGTCAATTCTCTACAAGTTAATATATGTGTTGACATACAATGAATATAATAAATACCTTTGTATGTTAACACATGAATCCAATACAATTACAACAAAATCCCAAAATAATATTTTAAGAAATCTGACAAGCTGATTGTAAAATGTTTACAGAACATGAAGGGGATAAAACTAACAAAGGCACTGTGAAAAATGAGAGAACTTAATCTATCAGACATCAAGATTTATTTTAAAGCTATAGTAAATTAAAACAGTATAACATGGGTGCAGGGCTAAGCACATACGTTAACGAAACAGAACAGAGTCTAGTAACAAATCCATACATATACTGAAGCTGAAAATATAAGAGAGGTAGTATTGCAAATGGAGGGAAATGATGAACTATTAAATAAATGATACCAAGTCTGATTTCTACATATTTACAAATATATAAAAATAGATTCCAATCTCCCAACATTTACAAAATGAATTACAAAGGGATGAAATTCTTAAGTATAAAAAGCAAAATATGTTTTAATTTACAGAAGAAAATCTAAATAATGTCTTTATGATCTTGACAGAGAGAAGGATTTTTTAAATCAGACACAGACACACAAAAAAAGATATCAAAAATGTTTCACAAATACTATCACATTTAATTTTTAAAAAATTATTACAAAAGGCCATTTGAATAGCTGATGTATTTTACAACACTCTTGAAATGAAAAAATAAAATAGAGTGATGGGGACCAGATCATTGGTTGCCAGGGGTTAAGATCACAGGGGAGACAGCACAGGAAAGTTTCTTGGAAGTGATGGAAGAGGGCTATGTCCTTATTGTGGTAGTCGTGGCTACATGAATCTATTTATGTGATGATATTTCATAATACTATAGAGCAATGGTAAAAAAATAAAATAAATTAAAAAAATAAAATAAAAAAGAGTACATGTAAGAACTGATTAAATCTAAATCTGAATCTTAAGAGTCTTTAGTTTACTTTGAAAAAAAAAAAAAAACCCTAGGCCTAAAGGAGAGAAACCAAGGAAGAAATAAATGTGGAAGGGTGATGCCCTGCCCAAGGATGAGTTTCAGAACGCTTTGGAGAGAATATGAGTGAGGCCCGCTGGATGGAGAGAGGTTCTCTGGGTTGCGCTGGACCAGAGCTAGTTCACAGAGGGTGAAATGAAAATGGGGCTCAGAGAATTTAAGGCCAAGGCTGGCAATAAAACTTGCTTAAAACTTGCTGGAGGATGAGTACCACTGGGTGCCTGAACATAAGCCACTGGCAGCTGCACTATAGGAACAAGAGAAATGGCAGAAATGAAAATCTTGGTGTTAAAATAGTTCAGCTTTCTAGATTCTCCTCTCTCTTCTACAACTCATAATCTAAAAGGAAATTGGAATTATCTAGCCAATCAGAGAAAGCCCTTTAAATGAAAGGTTTAAAATGGAAGCTTCTGAGTATATTTCATTCCATATTTTAAAGCATTGCTGGCTATTTGAAAACCATACGGGATAGGTATAATTGATGTGGGGAGAGGCGTCTCACAACCTAATAATCTCCACTTAAACTTAAGCACTTATATTAAATCACAGATTGGCTATTCCCTGAAGCTGGCAAAATTCAGTTTCAGATTCTTAAATGCTATTCATCCATATAGACGTTTTAGGCATGTCATTAAGAAAACTCATAAAGCCTAACAAATGTTTGAATGTATGTCCACCAAAGAATTAGGTTCTCGTTGCTTTTTTTCATCATATTTACATTTCCCTGTAACAAAAGCAGTAAATGCATACATATTATCCATCTAGTACCCATATTTTATTTCTGGAACCAGTAATCTAAACAGTGATTTTTCCATGTTTTTGATATTTCACTTTCACTTGATACCTAGAAAAAGACTTGTTAATATTCATTGAATATTCTCTATAGTATCTTCTTCACAACTTTCCCCACAATTGAGATACACCACAAAAAAGGCTTAAAATATTAAACAGGGTATTGACCTGAGGAATTTGAAGGAATTTTGTCTTAATGAAGGGAAGCTCTCACTACTAGTGACATTTCAGAAAGTATCCTTGACCTCAGGTAATAGTTCACAATTTTCCTTATGGCAGCCTTCATGTCCCTATTCCTTAGTGTGTAAATAATGGGGTTTAATATGGGGGTGAAAACAGTGTAAAATATGCCAAGTAATTTATCCACAGGATAGATGGTAAAGGGCCATACATAGATGAAGATGCAAGGTCCAAAGAATAATATTACTACTGCAATATGGGAAGCCAGCGTAGAAAATGCCTTTGCCGTTGCAGCTGAAGACTTGAGCAAAACCGTGACAAGAATAATGGTGTAGGAGCTGACCAAGAGAGAGAAAGTGCTTAGAGAAAGAACTCCACTATTGACCACAATTAGTATTTCAATGATGTTAGAGTCCAAGCAGGCAAGTTTGGTCACCCGAGGAAGATCACAAAAAAAGCTGTCTACTACATTAGGTCCACAGAAAGGCAAGTTCACAGTAAATGATAACTGGCTTAATGTGTGCACCAAGCCCACAGCCCAGGATATCGTTACCAAGACAGTGCATGTCCTTCGGCTCATGATGATCACATAGTATAAGGGTTTGCATATGGCTACATACCTGTCATAGGCCATCGAAACAAGTAGCACCATCTCCCCTCCAGTAAAAAGGTGAATGAAGAAAATTTGGGCTATGCAGCCACTGAAAGATATGGTCTTGTGTTCACTCAGAAAATCTGCAATCATCTTAGGGGTAGCAAAAGAAGCCTGACAAATGTCAATAAAGGAAAGGTTTCCCAAGAGAAAGTACATAGGGGAGTGCAAGCTGGTATCAAAAGTCACTGTGAGGATAATGAGAAGATTTCCCAGCACAATGACCATATACAACATAGAGAAGAAAACAAAATAGAAAAGCTGGAGTTTTTGAGAACTACAGAGTCCCAACAGTACAAACTCAGACACCACTGAAGAATTGGCCTTATCCATGGTTCCAGGCTGCAGACTTGTTCTGAAACAACTCTAAAGGAGGATAAATAGAAAGGAATCAGAACTTGAATTAAGAATACTTTTAAGGTGAGGGATGCTGAGCTCTCAGATATAATGTGCATTTGCTGAATGCAAACATTTTGAAGAGGCCATAGTAGTATGTCCGGATAGGTGGATAATAGGAAAGAACTTATGTAAATGTCTAAATACTGCTTAATAATTTAATCAATAGAATTAGAACCCCTTGAGTTTTTGGATAGTCCTTGTCTGTTATATAGTAAGAAATGAGCTTACCCAGAAGCTGACTCATGACAACAAGACTAGAGGAGTGACCTAGAGTCCAGCTCCACGGGCCTTATAAGTTGACAAAAAGTGTTTACATCTACTTGTCTTGTGGTCATCTTACATCATCAATTATATGACATTCTTCTTAACTTTTGAAGAGATATTCGTAACTTGATTATTATTACATGATGTAAAGTCACACAGATTAACTTTTGACTAATTATTTTGTCTGGACTTTAATTCCACACCTTAAAAAAATGGGAGGTGTAAAAATACCTACTTTATAGAAAACTTTAGAGTTTAAGCAGGATAAGTCATGACATTCTACTATCAAAGTAATTGCATTGCAACATAGAATCTTAATACGTTAAACACCCCATATTAATAGAAATTTACCTTCGTGCTGCTGCAGGAGTCGTTCCCAATTTAGGCAGTTCCTACTAAACAGATCCTATTGAATGTATATTATACTGGCCTATAGTTCCAACTGAGTTTATCCATTAGTCATCCAATAATTTCTTAAAACACATATTATGACTGACCTGAATTATCTAAATCCCATTTTCTATTGATTATCCAAGAGTAGAACCTAAATTTTTCATTTTCTTTGCCTATCAGAATTTGATTTCAGCCCACTTACGTTCTCCCTGCTAGAGTTCTCCATGATCTTCTTAAAACATCTTTATAATTAATGCCAGAAAATGAAGTGTTTTTTTTAAAAAAAAATTTGGTTAGAGAAGTAAAAATGATTATAAACCTCTCATGCTCTTGAAAATATCTAAAAATTTGCATCTTCTGTTTTTCACCCTGTAAAACCCTACTATATAAATCTAGTCCAGTTGAACTGGAGTAGCTTTAAAGAAGTGCTGTTTTAGGAAACCATATTAGTTCTGACAATTAACTGTTGACAACAGTCATAGTAAGAGACCTGAGAGAGTGATGATCTAATTCTGGTCCCATGTGAGAACATGAGCATCTTTTTCTGCTAATTTATTTCATACAAGAAGCCAGAGTCTTTACTTTGTCTCTAGGCTACAGACCTAGCCTCTCATTTAGATGAATGCAGTTGCAGTCCACACAGGGAAGCCCCACAGTAAACAATCATATTGTGTACTCTGTTGGAAGAATGTTCAGAGAAGCATTCCACTGGGCCACATTTTGGATATATGTTATTTTAAACTCTGGAACTATGACAAAAAAAAGAGACTCATTATAATTGTTTAAAGCTTTAGTAACAACAAATCAGTGTCTATAATATACAAAAAGGCAATAATTAAGAGGATTCTGAAACATAATGTGATCACTTTATCCCATGTGTGACTCATTTTGTTCCTCCATTTGTGAAATAAACGTGTCCTTGCTCAAGTTCATGTATTTATTACATAAAATGATCAACTCTACTTAATGAAAAAGTTTATTGTATGAATGTAATGTATTAAGCTAAAAATTGAGGCAGATTTAAATATAGTGAATGACGAATCATAATCTTAAAATTTACAAATGAAGGACAAAGAGAGCTTGCATTTGTTCCGGCGCTGCTAGATAGCATCTACTGTGTATACATGTTTTATCAAGTGATCTTTACAAAAGACCTTTGGAAAAGGGGTTATTAAACTGCAGAAGAGAAAAACAAAGATTATACATGTTTAGTAATCTGGGGTCAGACAGCTAGTAAGGGTCAGAACATCTCAGTGAGGATTTGAAATCAGATAATATAAATAATATTTAATATTTACTATGCACCAAAGTGTCAGGCACTGTTCTGCGCTCTTAATATCTAGTAATTGAATCTTCCCATAATGCTACATGGTAAATGCGCTTACTAATTCTGTCTTACAATAAGAAGTCAGAGATACAAAGATGATAAGCAGTTTCCCTGAAGTTCCATAGCTGGAGAGTCATTAAACTAGAATTTGAACCCTGGTATTTGATTCCAAGGCCAGCTCTTGCCACGCTATGACATACTGTTTCAGATCTGAATACAAAACCGATGCCATTGACACTGTGCTACAACTGGGAATTCCATCAATATATGTTCAATCTTTTCACCTACTATGAGCCATTGGTTAGTCGGTCGAGCTAGAGTTTCCCAACTTTGGCATTATTGACATTTGGGATTGAATTACTGTGTTGAAACAGACTGTCATGTGACTATTGTAGGGTATGCAGGAGCATCTCTGCCATTACCCATCAGATGCCAGTTACACTTTCCCCCCAGTTATAACAACCAAAAATGTCTCCAAACATTACAAAATGTCCAGTTGAGGAGGTGAAAAATGACTCCCAGTTGAGAACCACTGTGCCACTGGGTTAAGCTCTCTTTGGCTTGCATTTTTAGTCTCTTCCTGTTTCATTTCACTTTTCATTTAATCTTTTCATCTACTGACAACTGTTCAGATTCACTTATCAAAGAAATAAGAAAAAAACTCTCCTAAACTCTTCTATTCTCTTTAATTGTTTTTTCTCTTAATTTTTCTTTTTTTAAAAAAAAGAAATTTTGTGTAGGAGTGTCTACATGTTTCCGTCCAAATCTTTTTTACTACTCAGACTTTTAACATGCTTAACTATACCTTTTGTTGCCATGGTCAGGAAAACTACTTTATCAAATGTCTCCAAAGACCTGGTAATGATAGCTAACTCTTAAACGGAATGCCTCTTCATTTTCCTTTCAGAATTTTTAATACTAGCTTTCTTTATTCATGCTACTGTCCCTTAAAAGTAGATTCCAAGAGGTCCTAGCCTCTGCCATTCCAATTTTTTTTCTTTTTCCTTCTGCATTTCTTGAACTCTTCTTTATCTCTTTACGTCCTTATTAATCTCTTTCTCCTCCTTATTATCTCCCTTTCTTCAGCATTCCATTCATCTCCCTAGCATCAGTCATCACCTCTGTATTATGACCTCTAACTTTGCAGTACTGTTCTCCCCCCGCCCCCCACATTCCAATATTCCAATCTGTTTCTGACACGTTTTGAATGTGACTACACATAGCCATCTCAAACCTCGGCTCTCACAATTTCCCAACTCAACTCAACTCTTTTCTTTCAAACTTTTCTGGATTAACTGTAAGGGAAAACCTACCTTTCTCCTGGACCTCACTCTTCCACTTGAAACATCTCATCATTCCTTAAGCTTATATAGAAATTTAATGTCCTTAGCATGAGAGCCAAGTATATATAACCTGTTTTTACCTATGCCATACCCTGCTCTTTAGCAAAAATAAATAAATAAATAACTTTTAAAAACAGGCTACTCAACATTTATTAAGCTGATAAACAATTCCTTATCCATTTTTTCATGTCCTTCACAGATGTCTATTCCAACACAGATGTTACCACCTCTAAAAGCCTTCCTAGAGGCTTAAGTCAAAATGTCTATGTTCTAATGTTTCTGTAGCACTTTGATTGCATATGTGTTATATCTTCTCCGAAGGTGTAGTGAATTATGTTGGCTTGGCATACATTTTGAATACAAATTCCACTTTCTCATACCAGAAGCAAGGCTCAGTTACCCTTGACACAGTTTCCAGTTCTACACTATATTCAAATGGTTCAAACTGGTGGCCAGAGATTAAAAACTAGAGGCTTCTTTCCCACCTGGCAGACTGGGCTTCCTGCTTTCCTGTCACTTTCTTTAAATGGACCATTCAGTCATTTTCTGGTGAACTTAAAGTAACCCATACCCTTTTCCCTCAGGTATACTGCTAGATGACAGACTTTCTCACCCTCCCTCTGCCTGACTCTTCATTCCTGCCCCACATGACCCTGGGGTGAAGGACTGTCCTCCCAACTTATTGCACTCTCCCTGCCTGATCGCTAAATAAAAATCCTTGACTGTTTTTGCTATTTTAGTGATGTATTGAATTTGCACCATCCACCTGAAGAACCAGGGGCTGGCCCAGGCTGGGTTTTCCCTGGAATGCTTGGGAGAACACAAGATCAGACTCCCAACCTCCAGAGTGCTGGTCTAGTAGACATCAACTAGACATAGGTCAGACAAAAGCTGCAAGGGCATCTGCCAGTATAAAGTCTCCTGTGTGAGGAACTCCCTGGTCCTGACAATTAGGCATTAAGCCTTTCACCAGGTAAAAGAAATATCCCATAAAGACACACTGGAAACACCCACAACAAGTTCATTTTCGTTTCTCATTGGGACAGGATTGCTAGCCACTCTGGTATGGAACTCCAGTTTAGCTGGGGACTCTCAAAACGTAAGGTAAGACTCCCAGTGTGGAAGAGAAATATTATTATCATAGCTAACTCTATTATTTCTCTTCCATACTGAAACTTCTTGAATTCTTGTGCTTCTTATGAATCAGTCACAGGATTTGGTAGAGAGATGTGCCAAAAGTACATTGTCGATAAACATGTTATAGTATTAATGGAAATATATTTCACCCTATATTTGTCATTCACTGAATAGTTTTACCTTCTTACTTTCCTGTGCATAGAATCCTTCCCAGTGAATGGCCTAGAACTCTGCAAACCATAAACTACCCACATAAACTCCATCTTTACATGGAGCAAAAACATTTCATCTACTTGGTAATACAATGTCCTAATTAAGTAATAAAAACCAGTACCAACAATCAACCAGCTAATGCAAAAATAATGACACGACCGGTTTGAGTTGAAGCATAGAGAAAATAGTTTGTCCATTACATTGGAAGTAAACCATACATTACCAATTTTTTTAAGTTATAGAAATAATAAGATGCCTTAAGAAAAATAAATTTGCATTTTACTTCTGTAGGGTTAAATAAATCGTGTTATATACTTTAAGTGCAA